GAGGGTTATTATTGACACCCGTCATGTGACCCACCCTGGTGCTGTCTGATACACAACTCCTTTGAGTATTCTATAGCATCGCCGATAGATTCAGATAACAACAGATTCCCTGTAGCGCTTAATCGGGCTCCCATAGCCGGGTCCACTCTACAATCAAAGGCTAGATCACTCTCTGAGTACCTAGTGTACTTCCCTTTTCGAAGTAGTAATTTGTTTTCACGATCTGACCAGCGATTCCATTAATACATGGCCATGGCGTAACCACAGCCAACAAGCAAAGTTCCGGTTCTATTGTATCATATTTGTTTCAATAGTGCCGTGTGTCGTGTTTCTCACGCTATCTTGTACCCAACTGTGACTTCGACAACGGTTTCTGTTGGCTTTCCAAATTTTTATTGGGACTTTTACCGCATGAACTTGTTGCTGTCATCTTTTTCACGTAGTTTTTTTTGGCTGCTGAATTTTAAATCTATTTTCTCAGTTTCATAAGGGATTTTCGTGTTCCCTAATGAAGTAAGTATTTAAGAGTTTGGCCTAACGACTAGCTATATATGTATGCATGTACAGTAATGCTCATTTGAAGACATGTAACGCAATAAAATGCTGAGGGTAAGTGGTATTCGATTATGAACGTGTAGCGGCTTAGTGGCTCTACAGTGAAGAAACCATTCACTCTGCATAAAGACTCCTCCTGACAGTAGCAGTTTTTTTACGAGTTTTTTGGACCACCCATAAGTCCGGTGAATAATCAGATAAGTCCGCGCGACATTGCGATCGTCGCGCGCGAAGAAGTGGGACATTATCAATTGAGGCCAGTTGTTATTTTCAGAAAAGTTGACCTGGAAAGGACATCTCTAAAAGATGAGACCTTAAAAAAAATAAATAAATAAGTGTGGATGATTAAGGAAATGGTAAAGGATAAATAACATGAGATAAAAGCAAACAATGAGAAGAAAACTCTCACTCTTTTGAACGCTCTCTCAGACGGGAGATTAGAGGAAGGCGTCAAGTATTGTTGGAAAAAGGAAATGTAGTCGGTTCCGACAGAGCGATTCACAGTTCAATAAAAGATTCCTGCTTTTGCTTTTATTCTTGTCCTATAGTTTCGCGAAGTATAAACAAACCTAACGGCTTATCCCACTTTTTTCTTTTTTTCTTGAATCTCGTTTTGCTGGCAGGTGAATCTACAGGGGGAGGGAGGAGGACAAAAAAAGACTTTTTTCTTCCTTGACTTCGAGGCGCTATAAGTTACACTTTATTGAATTCTTATCGGACATTCCACCACCATATTAAAGAGCATATTAAATACTATCACGATACTCCGCCACAGCCTTCTGGAGGAGATTCTGCCACGCGACCGTGAGTGGGTGCCTGAGTTCAGCGAGATCGTTGATTTCTCCGCCACTGTAGACCACCCTATTGAACTCCGCCCGAACCAGGTAATTGATGGGGTTTAGGTCAGGTGACCCTTTGATATTCCATCTTCTTCAGGAACTCAACGCCCTTCCATTCCAAGTAGGCGAGAGTTTTTCCAACGCCCTTCAATTTCATGTGGTGTCACCCAATCCTGTAGCAGTACAAAGTTTCCAAGAAGGTACGGGCGACGACATGTGAGAGGATATTCTTCTCGAGTTGCTCGATGTAACCGCCAGCGCTCACCTTCAGTCCGGGGCCCACGAAGAAAATATCGGTCTCTCCATTCCAGGTACGTCCGGTCCCACCATCAACTGGCGCCTTGGCGACTGAGGTGAAGATGATGTCCTAGACCGTAGCGACGTTGACGGAGCTGCTCGATGATGGAGGTCTTCCAGATCGAGAGTACTGGTCTCCAGGTAGCTATCCATGGGTGACTCCATACTAGAAGTTTCGCAGCTGTTTGGAGGTGACATGAATTCCAAAGGTCTTCTCCAGTCAGGCTGCGACTGGAGATGACTTCATATTTTGGTGTACATGAAGGTGATGGGCGAGAGCCAGCTCCTGCTTATAGAGGAACATCTTGGGTATCTTCCGCCCTGGTACTCGTATCCACGTCCTCTGTCTGGGCTGCGAAAACTTTGCTGATATGTGACTCGGTCGAAATGTCTTTTTTTTGGCCTCCCTGTATATTAAGGTGATTTAGGTTCATCACCTGTCCCATCATTATCCCCTAAAATAAGATAACTAGAGTTTTTCCAAGTTCCTGTGTGATTTTTACACGAAGAGCCTTCCCTTATGCTTGCTCGTTAAAAACTCTGTTATCCCACCTCTTATCAGTTCGTCAGTCATCCGGCCTTAGTTGTTTCCCTTTTGTGATCCCACCTTCTAGAGATGTCCTTTCCAAATTATCATTTGAAAATAACAATTGGTCCTAACTCACAATGTCCCATTTAGTGTTCGTGCGCACGGCGGTCGCGATGTCGGGCGAGCTTATCTACAGGGTGTTATTAGTTTCAGATCGATACCGTGTGCAGCACTGGCTCAGGAATGGTTTATTCGCATCACCCAGTAACTATTATATCGCCACGAAGAAACGAGAAGTAGCATGGAAAGGAAGCTTGCAGTGATAAATGGCTTTCGAAATGTTCGTGTTCAGATTTGGGATCACTGTAATCCGACGACCTATCGCACCATTGCAATTGCATGACTGGTAAGTTGAAGCTGTGCAGGAACGAATCCCACTTGTCAAATGGATGGCTGAAAAAGGCAGAATGGTATTTAGTTTATATATGCTTTGAAAAAAAAATGTAAAAAAAAGGAAAAGAGAACGACTCTTGGTCACGACACATAAGCAAATGTCAATACAGCAATCGACACAAAGAGCATACGGAATTCTCCCAAGACGCAGCAGGCTATAGGGCTCTGAGGCTCTGGACCAGTCATGATCCTTGCGAATAAAAGGGCGTGTGACGGGGGAATAGCCTGGAGCGCATCCTGATCAGATTGCCCATCAGCTGTATCGGGCTCAGGGCCGCATCATTGATGAAAAAGGGTGCCCTGGCTGTCCAGCATCCGCGTCCGCAGCACACGCCCTATCAGATTATGACTGTAGTTCAGGTAGTGGTAGGCAGTCCACATATCATTCAATCACGGGATATGTCTATGGTGGGCCAAATATCGTTCGCTGCTTGATCCTGACTTTGCCCCCTGGGAGGGCTTTACCTATAAACAAAGAAAGACCGAGGAGCATGTAAAAGGGTTGAGTTGACAATGGTGTAAAGAATTATATAATATTCCAAAACGACGTCGTTTTCTTAACTCTCCCACAAACGCAGCGTAGGCAGCTGGAGTGAATAGCATGCTGATGAATAGCAACAGCATGTGAGCACCATGATACTAACCTGTCTCTTATATCCCAGTAACGATCGAGCGGGCTCCTCTCTCGCCCTATATCTATACATACTTGGTTTATTAAATGAGCTTTTAGTTTGCCTCTATCCATCTGCATACACCAGAATCGAATTTTCCACTGGATGTCAAAAAAATATTGATATAATCTGACCACCCATCTAAACATGTGCCTTGGCAAAACTGGGAATCGCTGGCCGCAAAGGAGAATTGGGTTGTTTCTGGCTTGGAACTATTTTTTGCTGTTTTTTCCCGTTTCCGTGACGCAGTGTATCTCCTGAACTCTGCAGTTTCTATTTCTAATAATTAATCGAAAGAACGTCAACACCCATCTCCGTTCAACAGATGTAGGACATCCAAAAGGCGTGGGAGGTATACTCCTTATCCCTGGGACGGGGTAGGCGTGGCATTCGAACATGGCACAGAACTGGTTACTCGTGGGATATTTCAATTTGAGACAACCGCCATCTTGTTCTTTGTTGGACAGAGACGTGACCACATTTGGGTCAAAATGAAAATATCTCTCCAAAAGCATAGCCACCACGACGTTTAGTTGAAGTACGCAGCCACGCCTACCTCATCTCAGGGATTTCGAGTGTACATAGTGTGAAAAAATTTTCTGCAGCATTATGAAGTGCCCAGGCGGACTCTAATTAAGTGGCTGTGAATCGCGCCTTTCTGACCTCGAAGTGTTTGCATCCTTATTTTCAGTGAAGACTTCTACGAGCACGCCGTATTCCCTCATGGGTCATACTTGTCTGCGAGGACGTAGTAAGCACCAAATTTGCTACAACAAACGACTACGGCAAACACCCACGAGCCAACTACTCTCATTTTTAGTCCCGTCTATTTATCTTTTTTCTAACAACTGCTTCTCGTTCATGAAAGCTTGGTGGACTCCCATGACTGGAGTCGCTGGTAGTGTAGAGTTCGAATAACGAATCGTTCATGGGGAAGCTCTCATTTACATTGGAAAATCTTTCTACGAAAGAGAAACTTTCTGAAAAAATTACCTTATCTCACAGTTTGGGAGCTATTCTGGAGCGATTGACCTCTTTGGGGGTTCACTAATGATTTTGTAGGTTGGAATTCAGAAGGGTCCCATCAGAAAGCCGCAGAGGGACTTAACTAAGCAAGGGAGGGCGGGCGGTGGTACATGAACATGTCACTTGACCCTGACACATTGAAACAACGTTCATATGGCAGGCAATGAGGGAATAGGGATGATTGAGAGGTAGAAGACCTCCCAGTGAATCCACAAGGGTAGTTTGTAGTGTAAACTGCAATCAGTGATTTCACCAGACTCATTCAAAATCACTCCCATTTACTCGTCGTTTCAAGCTGATGAGTCATGCTCACTGCCTATTTTGTCCACCATGTAGCATACGTTGGAGTTCATAAGAAAGCGATTCCATTACTAAAGGGGCAAATGGGGCAGACTTTCAGTGAGTTCTGCCATACGACTGTTAGTGATTCGTCAAAACGCCTTGAAGTCGACACTGCGTTGTCATCATCCTGGTGCAATTTAAGCGATTGTTCCACGGACAACTGCATGCCGAGCACGTCCGGTCGACGACACTTTCCAGAGGATGTAACAGCGAAGACCCGCCGACTGATTGGGTGATTGTTTGTTTCTGTATAAAGAGGCGGTCTCTCTCTCCCTTACATGCTTCTTGTTGGAAAACTCGCGCCATTCCTCAGGCTTGATTGCGTGCCGCCCTCTTCCACGGCCTTATCCCATTCACTCCCTCACATCACACTCCCAGAGAACTCTCTCGGCAAGTTCAGCGTCTAGAATGCGAAGCACCACTCTTGCTCTTCTGCTACTTAGCGCACTTCTAATCAGTGCACAGAAGTCACGTAAGTTTTCAAATTAATAACTCAATAATATTTCACTTGTGCGTGTCACTGCCGCCCCCCTACGTCAACCGAAGTTTCAGAGACTCCCAATCAAGCGGTTTTGACTCGACTCTACTGCACTTTCTTCAAATTTGTTCCTCTTACACTTAGTTCTCTCTAGGGACATAGTCAGAATCTCTGGGCAGTAAACTTCTGATCGTACTGACCCATTAACAGCCGAGCAATACAATATTATTTACATAGACCAAGTCGTTAGTGGTCGCTATTTGTCCCAAACGACTACAATCTGAATAGCTCCATTTAGATGCCAAAGGAACGCCAGAGTTGGTGCAACCTATAGTTTATGAGAGCGACAATAGTGAACTGCTTGCAAAGGTAAACCCTTAGCCTTATCAATTCGCTGAAGGGATCTCACCTGAATCGTTCAGGTTTCATCGCAATTGCTAAACGCCCTTGCCAATATTGAGAGCATGCAGGAAGGTGAGACATGACCCGGGGAATCTTGAACCGGGAATTCTCTTATAATTATGATACAAGTGAAATCAACTCCGTCATTATTAGGTACACCAATCAAGATCGCCGAAAAACGTCGCAACAAGTTCGAATTCATCCGATTTGGTCGAAAGTGAGATGAGCAGCTGTGCATAACAAATCAGCACTGTGTAGCACCAACTTCGCTGTAGTGCTGAAGCTGCAAGCTGTTTATTCTTTATCTTCTTCATGTTCTGGTTAGATCTGCATTTGACGGAATCATGTTGCGCTCACTATCCTAACCGTACTGTGTTGCTCGTATAAATATGTATGTTCTGGATTATCGATTTGGAATTAATAACATATTGAAGGACATTTATATGTTCTTCGTGCGATTAACCTCGTGATGGGCATTTATGCAGCCGAAATCCATGAAAAAAAACGCGTGAAATTTGCGGGCGTCGCTGCGAGTGGTATCACAACCAGGAAGCAGCATCGCTGTGTGAAACACATAGGGACGGGGGGGGGTCGTGTTTTTCCGCTGAGGAGGGTCGGGTTTTTCCGCTGAGGAGGGGAGGAGGGGTCGTATGTGCAATTGAGAGAACTTCGAAGAGTTAGGTGAAATTTTTTTCTAGGTTGTTGACTTTTCGTAATTTTTCCTGTTTCATGTGTACTATGTACCCCACTCCCTCGAGGGGGGGGGGGGGGTCGTACTGACACCACAATCACACATCACGACGCTGCACCCCGATCACAACAACATGTAACTCTTACCAGTAGCTGCGCTTATGCTTTCACGCAATTAGTACATATTAGTCATCTGAGAACCTAGCGGTTTATATACATACTGTCTACGGTAAAGGTGGACATCGCTAACGGAGTACTCCGTGTAGAAATGGCTTGTTCCAGGACTCTGTTTAATCACAGCATCTTGTTTCAAGAGACGATAATTAGCCATATCGAAATTAGTGAAAGGGGAGGTACTTGTTGGTTCAATATTTGCAATGGGAAACCCTTTTCTCACTTCAATATTATCTTCAAGCCGTGTTTAACCACTTCCAGGACAGCAACCTCCTTTCATCTGAAGCCGCTTGTCTTTATCAAAATGAAATCTCGCGCGAAGATGCCATGAGACGTTAATGAGACTACTATAGGGACTTGTCGAATTAACCGCATATTGCCCCAGTCCAGTGATCCACGTGAAAGTGTTATCATCCACTGAAATTGAAGAAGATCATGAATTTGATTGATCTGTTTGAAACTTCTTGATTCTTTTGAAGCAATCTATTCATCCTTTAACATTCGGTAAACGTAACGATCCCATCGGAGTACGTAAAGGGCACACCCTCCAATGAATGACGCGACGCATCGTCATGGAGACTTCTTAGACTAGAGATTACTTCCCTTGAAACGACCCTTCACCCCCCTTGAGGATTCCCCACCGTTATTCCCTCTCCTTAAGCGTAGTTTTGAGCACAGAGGCCGTCGTTCTCGAGTTGTGGTTAGCATTTAACTTGGGTACACCATCGCTGAGACGTCCATGGGGAGGGAGGAGGGAAAGGAGCCTGCTGGTCTTCGGGTGAGGAGCTATTTTTCAGACGTGCTTTCTACTTTTTCTTTTGATGAATGAGTCGCAGCTTTGCCATTTGTAGCTAGTACGAAGTCTGTACTCTCCACTGCTCAAGGAATGCTGTCAGAAAGGCAACAGTATTCTCAACCTCACACTGAGATTATGTACCCTGCATTGAGCACCTATTCAAAATGTCAGAGCAACTCCACGGGCATTTGCAGAGTTGCAGCCAGCTGCACTGGCCAGATGATGTTCTAGTCAACGTTTTTATACACTTCATATCCCAAGATAAGGAGTCAGCGGCCGCGTACTTAATACGAACGTGAAGGCAGCTCGCTTCAGGGGGCCTACTGTAGTTTCAGAAAAGTTGCAATCATTTTGCCAGTACAAGATAGGATAGCATTTGCTTCACATGGAAATATTCCACAAACAACGCATTCAAGAAAAGTACCAGCCACACCCACTCTTTTGGTGGGATGTGAAGTGTATGTGCATGCATACATAGACCAATGGAATCTGCAAGAATGAAGAGGAATCTGATCTCTATCGACTGTGCGAGTAAAACCGATCACCTTTCGCGGGCTATCTTCATTAATTTTTCTTTTCGTAATAACAAAAAAGCGACATTTCCCGTCCCCTTCCCCCCTCCCCTTCCAACATCTTCCGTAACACTTGGTCGTCAATATTGCTTCCGTATGGTAGAATGTATTATACAATTGGACTAAATGCGTATCCTAGAACAGCCTGATAGTGTGGTTCAATGGCACCCACTCCGCGAACCTAAGCTGTATATAAAAAGAACAGAAACCCGACTCTAGTCTAGGGTGGGAAGAGCGGTCGTTTATCACGCCAATATCATGGCGAGCGTTAAACGCAATAATATAAAGAACACTCATGAAACGCTCCGTATTCAATAGAGATAGTGCAGGCAATATCATAGGGATATGGGAACAGCTGCCTCAGTGCCACCAAATCATCCTCTCCTCCGATATGACCCCAACGTCGTCGATCTTGGGATCGGGGTAAATGACTCTCCGATCAAGCACGAAGTCGTACAATCACGGCAAAGAAGGCGGGGGGTGGGATATGTAGCGCGCCTAGAACGAGAAAATCAACATCACTGGTCTTGAACAAGGGAATCGTTCCAGCTTAAATTCAACTTTGAATGGTTACTTATGTACAACCACAATCTCAAATCCTGATTGCGAATATACAGATAAAAGTGCTACGGGGAATTTCAGAACGATTTCTAATGGTCGGATTTTGCTATGGATGCAGGGTTGGCGTGTGAGCACTGCTGAGCAGTGCAATGCCAGCGCCATCGCGCCCTAGTGGTAGCTAGTTAGCTCAACGGGCAAGAAGTTGTGAGTGTACTCCATGTTGATGCGGGAACGTATGCCTTGTCCTCGATAAGACCATTCACTCCAATTTTTTTCTTTCTTCCGAATTAGCGGCCCAACAGTTGTTGGTGAAGGTCAAATATATGATTGACCACTGTCTATCCTTTGCGACACTGACTAGCAGACAATTCGAAATTCGGACCGGAGTTACAAATTTGGCTGCGAACTTGTTCCAGGAGGATAGTTTGACCATCGGAATAAGATATAATATCCGTTTGACGGGAAAAGGCCTGTAGCCCGCATCGAGCCGGACGGGCACTGGCTCCAAACAGTAGCAAAACACCAATTTTCGCAGAAATTTTGCCTCTAGGGTAATTTATCTTCCACGGTGCAAATATTACGTCCATTTAGCTTAACCAGGCTCGTCTTAACAAGGCTCGTCTCTTGAAGATAAGGACTCCGAGCACTTTTCTATGTTTTTGGTGAGATATTTTCATCTTGACACAATTGTGGTCGTGTCTCTGTCCAGCAGAACAAGATGACAGTTGTCTCAAACTGAAATATCCCACGAGTAACCCATTCTATGCCATGTTAGATGCCACGCCTACTCCTCTCAGGGATGAAGGAGTGTATGAAGAGAGATCCGCTCGTTTTCACGTCAAACGGATGTGATATCCAGACGACGAATTGAGATTCTGGCCCAAAATTCAAATTGTAAGATAGGTAATGAGTGCTGTAAGGGGCAGACAGCGACCAATTCTATATCTGATCTGCCACGTCAGATACTTGACCTAACCGCTCTGCTGGGTAGTTAACTCGTAGGAATGTCAAGAATAAGTTTTTTAGCTCTTGGAGACAAAGCAAAAGTTTTTGCGTCAACGGGTAGCAAACGCACTCACTGTCGCTTGCGAAGCAAAACCACTGCCACTGGACTACGGTGGAATTTTAATTCCTTCGCTGAGAACTGCGCCGGCATGCCAACACAGTACTTACACCAAGTTTTGACCACTCAGAACTCGTATGGGGGATCCTCGTAGCATTTCAATCCGCATATTTGCAATTAGCATTAGAGACCATCGATTGACAAACGTCGAAGTTCAGTGTGAAGTTGAAATTATTCCCTCGCAAGTTTTCGCTAGGCAAACTATGCCTCCCCTCTCCCCAGCGAACAAGAACGGTCCCCGGATGTGGATTTCACAGCAGTGAGGTACAAAGTGAACACCATTCTTACAGAAAATCAAGAAGTGTCTTGTAAAGCGTTAAGCATCTTAAGAGAGAGTCGAACCAATGAAGTACCACCCGAAACCCATTGCCAACATGTCATGCGGGCGTTCTTCTCACGAAACAGGAAATTCATGATAGGTTTAAGGCTAGGACAACAGCACAATGACAGCCCGAACTAGATGATTGCCGAGAAGATTAACCTAGCGTGAAGCAGTAGCGTTCAAATGGCCGGAGGGATGGCATGCCGAACCCTCGTTAATGGCCCTTGATCCTCTGCTACACAACTAATTCAAGCACTACATTGAAATCTACTCGAATTACGAGTATTGAAGCGCCACTGACATAACAAATTGCATTGCAACACCCATTATGCTCGTTGCTGATGTTGTTTTGATACATTTTCGGATTCAGTTCTGTTTCTTTTTTGGTGGCTAAAAATGAAATTTCATATCGATACGATGATAGTCATGGCATATAATGAAGCACATGACTTCCCTTTAGGAGAGAACGCAAGGGAAGAGTGTCGCCTACCGTTTAAAGAGACCCCATTTCACTTCAGGGAGGCCTGATCGGGCTCAGACAGCCTCCTATCTAATAAATGAATCCCGACTGACTTATACAAGATGGATAAGTGTTGAGCTGAGGGTAAGAGAAACCCTTATATAGCTAGGCGAACGAATGCCTCAACGAATCCAAATCAATCTGGAATTCAAAGTGCCCTCAAAAAGGAGAACGCTGCGCCGACCAGATACCATCACAAGAGAAAAAGCTACATGATCTCCCTAGAACCCTCCAGGACCCTCTAATGCACGAGACAGGGCAGTGGTACGAAAGAGCTTACTTGGCTAAGCACATTGATTCTTGCTTTTTTTTCGCTCAAAACCGAGAGAATGGGTTGCTGGGGTTGCATGCTGATTGGGATTCAAGAGGAGACTATTCTCATTTATTCCACTGGGCACACGATCTTGATATTTGGGCCACATGCCCTCTGTCCATGATTCGCCACTACTCCAATACGGAGCAG